AGTCTTTTAAGCATCTGACTCCTGATTTAGGCTGGTCAAGATCTCACAGTTCATGGGATAGAGGCCCGCCCACCTGGGGCTTGGCTTCCACAGAGTGGGATACTCTCTCTCCCTCTCTCTCTGCCCCTCCCCTGCTCTTGTGTGTTCTCTCTCTCTCTCTCTCTCAAAATAAATAAATTTGAAAAAACATATGATGGAAGTGCGTCTCTGAAAAGAATCTTGTTTTGGAGGAGAGAACATGAAGAAATAGTCACGGTGAATAGTTTCTATTCTGACAACAAAATGCCATAAATCGTTGGATTTATAAGTGGTTTAAAGAGAGGGGGAAAGATGCCCTTTTGTTTCAGATACTACACTAAATTTGGTAGTATCTTCACTTATACAATGGTTAACATGTAATGATTTCTTCTGAGAGATCCTTTTTCAGTCTTCTCATTCATTGCAATGCAGAAAAGTTGCTAATTATGTATCAATTATCACTGATCAAAGGGAAAGGTTGTTGTTGTTTTTTTTTTTTTTGGCATGCTTTTTCACATTTTGGCATTTCTAGTAGTATGCTGGTAACTGTTTGATTACAAGCTCCCCCAAACACACACACACACACACACACACACACACACACACAGAAACAAAACCCTATTTTATAGTGTTTGCCAATTTCTGCAGTGTAAACACTCCCGCCATGACAGATTTCAACTATCAAAGCTATGTCACTAAACATGCAATTCGGAAGTTGTGAACACAGTTAGCTCTTGCAAGCTGGTACCAATCGGCTCCACTAAATCACTGGTTCTGATTTGAAAATTGGTGATCACCCAAGTTTTTTTTCTTTTGTTTTTTAAACATTTGTACCTTCTGCTACTACTTATGTCTCTCCACTAAATTTTCTTTTCAAATGGATTATGGTTTGTTACTGCAAACATGTTAAATCGGTAGAGCACTTACAAGACTGCAATTATATTTACCTTCTTCCAGTCAATTAGGTTTCAGTGCTGAGTTTCTTTCATAGTTAGTATCCTCCTATCCATTCCCTTTGCTACTTTTGTTTATTATGAAATGAAATTTCCTGTGAGTCCATAAATGAAAATGTTTGAGTGTGTGCTCTAACTGGCTTTTAATTCATGTCAATTTAGAAACTCAGAATTATTTAAAGCGGTTCTAACTGTTCTAAGGTTAGCAATTAGCACTTTAATTTGTGCAAATGGCACTGAAAATGCTGTATCAAAACAAGACTGTTCCCCTTAACAAGAAAACCTTTAAGAAAGTTTAAAAAATCAGTGACACTCAATTTGAACAGTACTACTTTTTCACCAAGAGAGAGCAACATAAGCACACTTTACAAAAATACATTTCCACGGCCATAAGTGGTGGCATCGTGTCCATGCTTTATTTAGGAACCTATTACTTTACCTGCCTCTGAACTTGACAGACCAAGTGCAGTGATTAGTTAGGAGTATGGCAGTTGATGATGCATTCTGTAAAGGATCATATTTTTATCTCCAGGTATTTTCTATGCACAACATGTTTCTTCTTTATGATTTCACTTATCCATGTTTATGAGTTTCTGAATATCGGCATTGTTTTTCCTGTCAGAAGTGGTTTTTGACAGGATCTATTCTCTCCAACGGGTATAATGAAGTTAAGTAAAACTGGAAGAGTTTTAGATTGTGTAAGTGGTGAATTTTTAATTTTTATATTGTTTCAACATGATCAAGCTGCGTCATATCTAACTTTAAGAGAATTGGTATGTCTGAAGATTTTCTTTAGGAAAATGTTAGTACTATTAAGTGTACTTGCAACTCTGAATAAAAAAAACGAAAGTGTGAAGATTTCACCAATAAAGTGTGTACTTTCAAATCATTAATTGTGATTAACTTTAAAAGTTTTGCTAGATTCTGTGGCTTAAAGTTTTACCTTAAGTATTTTAAGGACACTATTTCCTCTCAAGGTTTTCATACTTCAGTAAAACACAGTGTCTTTAGATTGCAATAACTAAATATCTAACTTATATTGCTTCCATATAACAGCAGGAGTACCTGCAAAACATATCAGTTAAACTCGATAAGGCAAATCTTAAAAATGCCAGTGACAAATGATTTATTATACTTATTACATTCATGTTTTATGGATCTTTAGATACGTGTCAACCTCTGGGGGGTCATTTACCAGGGTGAGGGCAGAAAAAGAAAAAAAAACCAAGGTCATGGCTACAAATAAATGTATTAATTCTGTGCTATTCGGAAAGTTATTTTCATGTGATTTTAAATTCAGAAAATTTTTAAAAATTAAAATACATCTGAGGCATTTATTTTTAAGAGGTTTATTTTTAGAAGTCTTCATAGGAAGAAGCTTGTGGATTTAAAAAATCCCATATAAATATTTGCCTGGTTTCTGTAGCTTGCTCTCAGGAATATTGACGGGCATAAGTTAGGAATATTAATGCCACAAGGAGGCGTTGCCTTGTGTCTTTGTACCCTTGAGGTCTGATGCTGCTCTTGTCCTTTCAATATTTAGTTTTGAAAAAACAGTAATTATATCTAAGACCCTGGGTCTAATTCTATACTTGACATAGTTACCTCAGAATATAATGAATTTTATGTATTCAGTGAGCCACCTACTTTTTTTAATTTTTTAATTATTTTATTTTATTTTATTTAAAAAAAATTTTTTTTTTCAACGTTTATTTATTTTTGGGACAGAGAGAGACAGAGCATGAACGGGGGAGGGGCAGAGAGAGAGGGAGGCACAGAATCGGAAACAGGCTCCAGGCTCTGAGCCATCAACCCAGAGCCTGACGCGGGGCTCGAACTCACGGACCGCAAGATCGTGACCTGGCTGAAGTCGGACGCTTAACCGACTGCGCCACCCAGGCGCCCCCACCTACTTTTTTTTAAAGCATCCCTGGATCCTTTTCAAGATCCCTCGATCCCTAGATTAAAGCATCCTGATATATCAAATATATATAGTCAGTAAATACATGTATATATCAATATGCATATATATTTGATAACCAAAATAACTGTAACTGACAAAGTCGTAATTTTCTAATTATAATTTAGGAATTGTTCTAGACATTAAAAAAAATTCACTTCAAAAAAAATTTCACTTCACAGTTCCTTTACACAGAATGCTCCCCTAAAGAATTTAATGATAGATTTCATCTAAAGAACAATTCACCTAATAGATTAGATGAATGAAATCTTGACTTACAGACTTGAAAAAAGGCTCAATCAATCAAGCCATCAAACAGGTATATACTGATCACATACTATGTTCCCGGCAGTCTTGTAAGAACGAGACATCCCAATGGTAAAATATCTCTGCCAATGAAAGAACATTCCATTGAAAGGTCCTGGAATGGTACAAGATGGTGTGTTGAAGGAACAGAGAAAGGCCAGTGGCTGGCCTGTAATGAGTCAAGGAGGGTGGTACAGATGAAGATGGAGAGGAAGGGGCTATTCACACAGGGCCATCTAAGCCATGGTGTGGACTCTGATTTTAAGTTCAGTGGGAAGCCATTGGAAGTTTTAAGCAGAGGAGTGATACGCTGCTATGCCTTTTTTAAGAAAGATCATTCAGGGGCACCTGGGTGGCTCAGTTGGTTAAGCAGCCATCTTCAGCTCAGGTCACGATCTCGCGGTCCGTGAGTTCGAGCCCTGCGTAGGGCTCTGGGCTGATGGCTCAGAGCCTGGAGCCTACTTCTGATTCTGTGCCTCCCTCTCTCTCTGCCCCTCCCCCGTTCATGCTCTGTCTCTCTCTGTCTCAAAAATAAATAAACGTTAAAAAAAAAAAAGAACGATAATTCACACTCCTATATGGGAAATAGATTGTAGTGTGACAAGAGTGAATAGAAGAAGGTCAGTTGAAAGGCTACTAATGTTGATGAACTAAGAAGTGATGGTAGTTTTGATTAGGGTGGGAAAGAGGTGAAGAAAACTGGAACATTTTGGAATATATTTGGAACATAGAGCAGAGGAAACCCGCTGATGTTGGGAGTTAGTAAAGGCAAAGAAACAGGATGTTTTAAGATTTAAAAATTTTTTTTTAAGTTTATTTATTTTTGAGAGAGGAGAGAGAGAGAGCACAACGGGGGGATGGGCAGAGAGAGAGAGGGAGACACACAATCTGAAGCAGGATCCAGGCTCGGAGCTGTCAGCACACAGCCTGATGTGGGGCTTGAACTCACTGTGAAATCATGACCTGAGCTGAAATCGGACGCTTAACCAACGGAGCCATCTAGATGCCCCTGGATGTTTTTAGATTTTTTTTTTTTTTTTTTTAATTTGAACATCTGAGTGTATGATGGTGCCATTTATTGACGTGGGGAGGAACAGTTCTGTGAGGGCTAGGGAATAAAGAATTCAGTCTGGGACATGTTAAATGTGATACGCAAAGTGGAAGTATGGATAAGATGGTTGAATATAAAAACAGCTACTATTATCATCTCCGTTTTCAGGGAGAAGTGAGGTATAAGAAGGTTAAGCAGTTAGCTCAAGGTCGCCAGCTTAGCTTTTAGTCAGTGGAGCTGGGATCAGAACCCAGGAAGCCTGGCTGACCCAGAGTCTACACTTTTAGTCATGCCTCTGTCATTTTGGCACACAGGGTTGGAGATACTTAAAACGTTGGTGTTGGGGTGCCTGGGTGGCTCAGTCAGTTGAGCGGCCGACTTCGGCTCAGGTCATGATCTTGCGGTCCGTGAGTTCGAGCCCCGCGTTGGGCTCTGTGCTGACAGCTCAGAGCCTGGAGCCTGCTTCAGATTCTGTGTCTCCCTCTCTCTGACCCTCCCCTGTTCATGCTCTGTCTCTCCCTGTCTCAAAAATAAATGTTAAAAAAAAACAAAAAACACTGGTGTTGGAATGGGCTCACTTGGGAAAAGAAGTTAGGAGAGTAGAAAGACAGACCACTGTGCCTGTGTACTCTTCCATATGAGGTGGCCAAGGAGATAAGAAGGGAGACTGAAAAAGAGCAGCCACTGGAGTCTGAGGAAAACCAGGAATATAATGGTTCATAGGAGCCCAGAGGAGGGATTATTTCAAGGAGATGAGAAAGCTCCATCGAAGTGGAGGAAGGTGAGGAGGGAAGTGGAATTGTCAACAAACATGGGGGCTGTTTGTGACCATCACAAGAACAGTTTCAACTGAGAGATGGGGAAGGGAGCCTGTTGAAATTAGGTGGAACATACTCTGGGAAACACAGGCACAGGCACAGCCTTGAGAAGGCATCTCATGTTGCCATAGGTGTGTAATGTGGACAGCAAATTGCATTCCGTTCTAAGGCAATAGTATGGAGAGCATGGACTCTGGAGCCAGACAGACCTGGGTATTAATTCTCTGCCATCTTAAGCCTTTTACATTACCTCTCTGAGCCTCTTTTTTTAATCCATAACGTTTGTTTCATGCAATTCTTGGAAGAAGCTGTTGTTTACTTCCTTGCTTTTCCTTTTGTAAAATGCTTATTCCCTTTACCTGAAACCTGTTGAGATCTCTACCTGCCTCTAACACCCTCCTGAATAACTGCCTCAGTCCTTTATGTTATGGCTGATAGGTCTTTCTAAAGTTGCATGAAAAAAAAAATTTTTTTTTGCGATTATTCACATACTTTTCCTCCTATTAAATTGTGTGCTCATTAATTAAAACGAGGTTCCTCTCTTTGCATTTTGTATCTCTAAACACCCATCAGATTGTGTGCACTGAGTATGTACTCCTCAGGCTGTGTGAGTTCAGCCGGAAGTCAGCGCCGCCCAGGGTGGGGAGAAGGAGAGAGCAGCGAAGGGAGCTCACAGGACTGGAGGTAGCCGTGCGAGCGCACAAATCCACTTTCAGTTTAAACTCCAAACGCAGACAGAGGACAAAAGAGCCTTAAAACTTCTCATCACACGATCCAGAGAGAAGGCAGCTCTCAGAACAAAGGATGGAAGGTCCCCACAGAGCGAATTCAGACTTGTGTGCGGCCTCAGAGAAACGGGGAGGTGCCTCAATCCACAGCCGGAGTTCACGAGCAGATTGGAGGTAAAATTTCCAGGAGAAACGAGTTATGGTATATCCACTCAGTGGTTTGAGCTAAAGCTAAGACTTAATAATAAAGAGTACCCAGGGGCGCCTGGGTGACTCAGTCATTTGAACTTTGGACTTCGGTTCAGGTCAAAGGTCAAGGTCAAGATCTCAGTATTTGTGCGATCAAGCCTCCCCCCCCCCCCCCCCGTCCCCCCTCAAGGCTTTGTGTTCACAGAGCAGAACCTGCTTTGGATTCTGTCTCCCTCTCTCTGCCCCTCCCCCTCTCAGGCGCAAGCGCGAGCGCGCCCGTCCGCGCTCACGAGCGCGCGCGCTCTCTCTCTCTCTCTCTCTCTCTCTCTCTGTCTCTCTCTCTCTCTCTCAAAAATAAATACAAACATTTAAAAAAATAGAAGAAAAAAGAGTCCCAAAATAAGAATGAATGAAGTGAACAACCCGATTTTAGAATGTTGGGGTTTCATAAACTAGGGTGTGACAAATATACTTGTAAAACTTGATTTCATCTTGTACCGGAGAGTTAATTATACAGGGGCATGAAGTAGATAAAACGGTGATTGAGCCAGGTTTGTTCATATGCTATTTTCCAGGTATTACAGAATTTTTCTTTTTGTTCATAATCCATCCATTTCCTGATTTCTTTTTAAGGGTATTTCTTATTGCTCTCAAATTGAATCGCTTTATCCTGGCTCACATATTATGAAAATAAAAGAAATCGGGTCAAGCCTAATGAAACTCATAGACTAGGACTTTTCCTATCAGACAATAAGTAGAAATGAGAAATGAATGTAATCATCCCTCTATTATTTATGGGTTTTTATTATTATCATTGTATTTCATACTGGCCAGTTGGGGATAAAATCTAAGCATATGCATATATACATACACACACACACACACACACATACACACACACACACACACACACACAAACCTCAAATCTGTAAGTTCAGAAGATAGGGAGTGTATTTTTCTGTCAAGTTCTACTGACATGTAGAGGGTGAAAATCATATAAAGGCTACATAAATAATAAAGAAAAATTAAGTATAAAAATTGAAATTTAAGATCACAAAAATGTTACAAGTCTAAAAAATAAGATGCACCTTCACTTAACTCATTCAGGAAGAGAGAATAAATACAAAGAAGTCTGAGGTGGAGAGGGAGAGAATCAGAAAAAGAAATAGGCCTCAGACATCATATGGAAGAGACAAAGAGAGGGAGAATAAGATTTCTCCTCAAACAAAACGATGTAAGTATGAATGCAAAGTTTCACATGCATGCTCTCTTTATTTGGATAAATTGCATAGAAAAAAGAAGAGAACGCCATATAAATACACCAAATAAAAGAGATTATGAACTTCCTAAAGGCAAGGCTTGTTTCCCATTTATCTTTGTGTTCTCAGCTTCTAGCACACCAAAATAGGGTTTTGTAAATGTTTGTTAAATTGTTGAAAAAACAGAAAGCAATGTAATTGAGTATCATCTTATCTTATAGCCTACAAAGCACCTTGCAACTACAGGCATGAATAGATTGTATAAACTGTAGTGACTTCTCCAGGGACTATAAGAAATTAACTGAATGTTGAAGGTTTTCCACCTATGCTTCAGCCTGTTAATATGGAAAGCATTGGAAGATAGGGGTTCTGACTTGGAATTGTTGAGGTCAGCATTGATAGGTTCTGAAATGGTCAGTACAAATTCATTTCAAAAGACCTTATGGAAAATTTCTCTGAGACTGAATGTCATACATGCTTGTGAATATCCAGAGAAATGTGGAATGCGCTATCAGTGTTTTCTAGGACCTGGTAAATTTTAGGTATTTAATTTTGAACATGGAGTATTACCAAATTCAGTATATAGTGTGTCTAAATACCTGTGTGGGCTTGACTTCAGAATTCCTCGTAGCCATACCACTTCTACATATTTTCCTTCTTCTTGGTTTTCTTTTGATAAGGCAAGAAACATATTTGACATAGCTTCTAGAAAAGAATTGAAGTATTCTTGTTACACTGTTCTTAATATATGAAACCAAGGGAGAAATTGGCTTGAAGCCTGGCTCCCCAGGAAAGCCCATTTGCCCACTTGTTCAGCTGGTGAAAGGGGTTGTAATAGCTGATGTGAATAACTTGTAGTACGTGAGTATCTTGCCTTATTCTGCTTTTTCCAAATTGGCAGGTTTTATTTTTGTTGTTGTTATGCTTTTCTACTAGGTAAACTGTGATTTATTGTTTTAAGGTGTGTTTAGACCTAATCCTAAGGGAAACAATATACAGCTTTGGAGTTTTGGCATGGGATGCTGCTAGGGGCATTGGGTGAAAGTAATCGCTCAACATAATCCATATGAAGAAGTTGAGGGCTGGTGGCATCTCCTTTTACTGGGATACTATCACTTGTAGACTCTGGGACACTGTGTTGGGACTTTCAAGCGTCCTGAGCTTCTGAAGGGTCAGGGGGAGGGGGTGGATTAGGCACAAAGGATGATTCAGTGTGGGGCTGAACATATAGGCAAGATCACCAGGTGATAAATAGACTGCAGTGCATAGTAAGTTCCCAGATGGTAATGGAAAGACCTGCTGATGGAATTTCTCAGCATAAGTGATGTGCAGTGGTCCATTGGATGCTCTTAGAATAGACATAGGCAATAACACGCTTCTCTATGCCTCTCTGATGCTGGTAAAATATGGGTTTAGATCTAGAAAAGGCTGGGCAGTTTCTGGGTGCACTGTGTTTTTCCTCCAGGCTCAGGCCCCCATCCTAGGCCTCACTGGTGTCTCCTGCTGGTCACATTCTCCTCTTGCGGCCCTCTGCATCCTTATCTCCTCTGGAGTGCCATAACCAGGCTCTCTTTTGGTCTTTCTAATTAGTGTTTATGGCATAACTTTATGTCCTGAGCTTCTTCAGTGCTTTGCCTTTTTATTCCTTGCCCAATTCCCCAAACCATGCTTTCTGAGTTAAAAAAAAAAGTATATAGTTCCTTTTTTGCAAAATAGCCTGGTTCTTGCAAGGAAAAACTTTAGCCTTCACACTTTTGTCTCTGCTGTCGGTTTCACAAATGTACTTTAAAATTTAAAAACTGAGCATCAACTGCTTCTTTTCTCTTTTCATTCCTGTTACAACGAGGCTGATCTCCCAGAGACAAAGAAGGCTATTCATTATTGAGTGATGGGTTCACCAGGATTTTGTGGGGCTTATGCAGCCACCTGTGCAGGGAGAGGGGACAGCATTCAGGGAAGCCTCTGCTCCCATTCATCTGGTGTCATACAAATATGTATTTTCTGTAGTGCAAGGCACAGAGTTCCAGGCTCTGGCTGCTTTGAGGGGACTTGTGTGTGTGTGTGGGTGGTAAAAAGTTAGGGGAAGAGGGCCCACATTAGTGCGGTAGGGGCTTGTAGAAGCCACAAATGGACTCTGAAAGAAAGATAATGTGAACATCCAGATGGTATATAAATAGTCAGGAATAGTCAACACAGAGCTATAATCAGCACCACCTAGGTGAAAACGTTTTGTCCCTTTCTCTAGACATTCCTTGTTTTGCTCCAACTCTAGCAAAGCCACAAATAGGTAGGTGACGGAGACGAAAAGAGACCATGCCCAGCTTCTCCTTTACAGGAGCCTGGCGTCAGGTTGGGCCTGAGTCTGTTGGCGGAGGGGAGCAGCTTTGAATGAGATGTGAGATTAAAGTCTTAAATTTAACAGAGCCTTCTAGTACCTTGAAGTGAGCCATAATTACCGTCACGAGGCCAATTTTTGTTGTTGTTGCTGAAAATGACCAAAAAGCTCTGGAACTGCCTGCGATGTCATTAAGGTATGGGAAAGGGGAATCTGACATATTGAAAGGCAGTGGTAGGAGGAAAATACAGCTGCTTCCTGTTTGTACTCATTACGTTCAGCCCTTTTCAATAAACTGGTTACACATCTATTGATTCTTATGTAGTTCTACAGTGACTAATAGCAACCCACACTGCATCTCAATAGCACGAGAACTAAAAGACAGAGAATCATAGGCAGAGCATGGAAAGGTTCTAATTTCCCAGCCTATGGAGACGGATGGATGAGCTGGTCCGTGTGTCTGTGCGTCTGGGCCTGGAACCCAGAACTCTCTTTCTCCTCCTCTTCAAGTCCCAGGCTGCATTTGTCAACATTTTCCTTTTAACCTCCTTCTCATCCCATGTTTTCTGATTTGCTTTGACAAGATCATCTTCACCATCACCTAAGCTTGACTTCGCCTTTGACGCTCCTCTTTGCTTTACCACTTATGTTTAACAGGCACCCAACCTACCTGGTAACCCTCCCTTACCTGTGGTTTTGCGTTTTCTGGTTTCAGTTACCCAAGGTTTTGAAGCAGATGATCCTCTTTCTGAAGAATCACCTGAAGGTCAATAGTACCCGACCACTACGTCACTATAATGCTTATGTCATTCACCGCACTTCTCATCACATAAGCATTTTATCTTCTCACATCATCACAAGAAGGGTGAGTACGTGTAATACGATGTTTTGAGAGACAGAGACCACATTCACATAACTTTTATTACAGTATATTGTTATAATTGTTCTATTTTGTTATTTGTTTTTGCTGTTAATCTCTTACTGTGCATAATTTGTCAGTTTAACTTTATCATAGATATGTATATGTAGGAGAAAACACAGTATATATATTGGTACTATCTGTCGTTTCATGTATCCTCCATGGATACGGGAGGACTAACTACAAATCTATCTCGGCAACAGCCCTCCAAACACATCTCCCTGCAAAAATGATTCTCACTGAGCCATTTATTAATTTATTTACAAATGTTGGTGGGCTCAGTGCAAGTGATAAAGCTCACAGCTGCACAACGCTTGCTTCTTGTTTTCTGGGCGCTCGTGGTTTAGATGGGTTTAGATGGATTTAGATGGGTTTAGATGGGTTGGATGCCATTCTAATGCAGTGTAATTGAGTGTGCTTGTGGAGATATGGTCAAAGTTTTATGAAGTCTGGTGAAGTGAATAGCTAGCTGCTTAGGATGGAGACGGTTTGTCAAGGGGGACGTTTGAATCGGTCCTTTAAGACTAAAATACAGGACCACCTGGGTGGCTCAGTCAGTTAAGAGGTTGACTCTTGATTTCAGCTCAGGTCATGATCTCACGGTCTGTGACATTGAGCGTTGCATCGGGCTCTGCGCTGACAGTGCAGAGCCTGCTTGGGATTCTCTCTCTCTGTCTTTCTCTGACCCTCCCCTGTTTGTTCTCTCTCTCTCTCTCAAAATAAATAAACAACAACAAAAAAAGAATAAGATACGAAGAAGTGGAAGCAAGGGTGGGGGTAAGTCAGCCAGCAAGAAGGTACCAAGTAGAGGGAGACCACTAACAAAGGCAGAGAGTCGATGAGGACTGCAAGTAGTTCCCTGCACCGGGAAGTGGGGGCAAGGTGGGAAATGACAGGAGATGAGGCTAAAAAGAGACATTTTAATATTTTAGATGATTTCTTTAGAATAAATTCCAGAATCAAAATGCTAAATGTTGTTGGGCTTTTTTTCTGGAAAGGAAGGGGAGCACAGAGCGTGCCAACAGAGGCTGAATGAGCTTTAGTGACATTGGGAGTGTGTGTGTTATGCACACACATTTGTGCTGGAAGCAGATCAAGCAGGACAGGTAGGCTGGACCAGCTTTTGGCTAACCTAGTGTGCCATGTCCTCTTTATTTTTTTATTTTTTTTAAAGAAATTTAACTCTTTAAAAAAAATTTTTTTTCAAGGTTTATTTACTTTTGGGACAGAGAGAGACAGAGCATGAACGGGGGAGGGGCAGAGAGAGAGGGAGTCACAGAATCGGAAGCAGGCTCCAGGCTCTGAGCCATCAGCCCAGAGCCTGACGCGGGGCTCAAACTCCCGGACCGCGAGATCGTGACCTGGCTGAAGTCGGACGCTTAACCGACTGCGCCACCCAGGCGCCCTTGCCATGTTCTCTTTAAAAGGCAGTGTGGAGGGGTGCCTGGGTGGCTCAGTTGGTTGAGGGTTGAGCGTCTGACTTCGGCTCAGGTTGAGATCTTGCAGTTGACAGAGTTCGAGCCCCGCGTCAGGTTCTGCGCTGACAGCTCAGAGCCTGGAGTTTGCTTCGGATTCTGTGTATCCCTCTTTCTCTGCCCCTCCCCAACTTGTGCTCTGTCTCTGTCTCAAAAATAAATAAACATTAAAAATAATTTTAAAAGGCAGTGTGGAGCCCTACATAGTTTTGAAGTAGGCTGGTGAGGAGCATACATACGTTTTAAAAACATGATTCTAGCAATAATGAGGAGTGAGACAGCATGCTATTATACTCCAGGTGACAGGTAACCAGGGTCTGAAGTAGGACTGTGGGAGTGGGTAGGAATTAAGGAGACAATTGAATGATGCAATCGAAAGCAACCAAGGCTTCACCTAGCTATTGGCTGAGTTTCCAAATGGCCTGTGGGCGATTAAACCAAACTTTGGAACCATAGCACTAATTGGTCTGGCTTTGCCTCCTCTTCTGTTTTCTTTTACATGTAGCTATGATCCAGCGTAATCATTTAGGCTGTAGTAGTAACTATGAATTACAGCCAACTACCATTAGTCCTCTCCTACAAGTATCTTTTTTGCCCCTATACATGTGCCACTACCTTCTCCTGGAATGATCTGTCTCCTCCTTTTCCACTTTTCCAATTCCTTACACATCCTTGGAGTACTACCTCAACTGAAATCTGCCATGTAAAGCTTTCCCGTATCTCTCCTCCTTCCTCACATGACCCTGCCCTGCCTCCCCCAGTGGATGAGATGGTAATCCTGTCCAGCGCTGGACTTTTCCTCAAACTCCAGAATAATTTACCTATAATTTACTTATGGGGCCATTGCCTTCTACCTTGTAATAAAGTTATAATGGATATATCTTATCTCTTCTATCAGGCTGTAGACTCCTTAGGAAAGGAATTATGCCTGGCATATAGTAGGTCCTCAGCAGGTAATAAATAAGCAAATATCAGTATTCTTTATCAACTCATGATTAAAGAATGGTGTGAGTTTTTTTCCTTGTTACTGGGGGAGGTACAACAACTTTGAAAGATGTAAAATGTAGTCTTTTAATGAAGTCTTCAAGTTTGATCAGTACATTTGTATAATTGTGCACAATTGAGGAATATATCTTCTGACTTTAAGGTCTAAATATATCAATGCTGTTCATGCCTTTATTTTAAGTGGGGATTAATTCTCTTTCAGGGGAAAACTATAATCCTTTCATGTTACAATTCACAAAAATGAGTCCCATAACTCTGTTCTAAATAGGAGGGAAAATCTCAGAAAAATAAATGTTATCAGGTAACTGCATCCGTGTTATTGTGATGTGTTAGAGCTCTCCAGGGAGCGCATATTGGATAGCTTTGCGATTTTCCAGCAAGCATCTTTATTTTTTTCCCCTGTATACTAAGTTGCTTGCTTAGGGTTTACTAGAATGCTAAATTATTTCTAGCAAATTATAAGCAACATGGATGAATGGACATGTAGTGTGTCATTTTTGCCTCATTATGCTTTAGATTTGGGATCTCCAGTTTTGTAAATGATAACTACGATGTATCACTCCATCTTTACACGTGCTTATGCTTGAATGCATCCTGCTTCTCCTCCCATATGGAACGGTGTCAATCATGAGGTACAACTGTTAAGATACGTCTTGTGTCTACAGAAAATAACCCATAAGTATTTGTTATGGGATAATGTATAACATTGCAGGAAAACAGGAGAGAATTAATATTGGCCTTAAAAAAAGCAAACAAAACCCCCAAAACCTCTGGCGTAGTTTTAGGTGGAAGGATGTGGTAGGTTATTCCCTTTTCTCAAGGATCCAGGCTCCCCTCATTGCTCCTCCTATTCCCTGGGTGACTGAGATGTTTGCCATCATCATCTGGTACCTCAGTTTCTTCTTTGTAAATAAGACTTAGAGTTGACAGCATTTTGGAAGAAACAACAGATAAAAATGCCTTGAAAGAGCTTTGCGAGTCTACAGTACTCTAAATGCTTAATGATAATAACATACAGTAGGGCATCTTCCTTTGAAAACAGCAGGAGTGTTTCCTTACATAATGACCTGACAGATGGGTTATGGTGTCTAATCCCCTTAAACCCCCAAAGCTCTTTGATAGTGGATGTTGTAAAAGGCCAGATTAGAGCACATGCTGCTCTTTTATTGAGCCCTTTCTTTCAGTATCTATGCCATATTCAATTGCTTCCTTCTCTAAGTACGTTATGTGTTAACCTACTACCTGCAGGAACAATTAGGAGCAAAAATAGAGACTAAAGGACAGTGCACTCCAGTAGGAAAAATTAGTTAATGCTTGTTGTCCCCAATATTAAAAACCCACTTTGGCCTTTACATGTGGCTTTTATCGAAGGTTCCTGCCCTCCTAATTCCTGACTATTAATCTCAAGCTGTGGGTATTTGTTGATGTTGAGCACAGGCTGTGTGTGTGTGTGTGTGTGTGTGTGTGTGTGTGTGTGAGAGAGAGAGAGAGAGAGAGAGAGAGAGAGAGAGAGAGAGAGAGAGTTTTGTGTGTGGTGAGAATGGAGTATTGATATTAATTCTAAACCAGTGAGGCTTGCAGAAATCACAGGCAGTTAAGAATATGTTCAGCATTTATGGAAGAGCTGGAGCTTTAATCTGTTCAAAATGAGCAAAGGATGATTAGCACTTGTTCTCCTGTAACCTTAATTCTGCTCTTGAACCTGATTTGGACCGAGAAGTTCTTTTACATTTCCCCTTATTGCTGTGCTTGTCTTTTGAGAAAAGCTATTGGAGTTCTCAGTTTCTAAAACCTTTGTCACAATTCCTTGACCCAAATCCATCATCTTTCATTAGTTAACAAACTTTGCTTTCTTTGCATGCTGGGAGAAGGATATGTTGTTATAAAATCACCCATGGTGTATAATCTGTGTAATCAAAAAAAAAAAAAAAGAAAGAAAGAAAGAAAAAGGAACAGCAATGATGTTTGTTTGACAACTGAATATAACTGCAGTAAACATTTTAAGTGCACTACAGTGAACATTTTAGGTGAACTATCTTAACTTGGGATGTTTAAAGAAACCAGGATGGTTGCTCAAAGGCCTCCGCTCATACGCTGGATCCTCCCATCTCTCACCTTCTCAAACATATCACTTCTGCATTTGTGTCCGCTTCCCCTACATCTTCATATGCTTCCTCTTTTCCAAAACATGGCACAAATATTCCAGAATATCACCCAACTTTATAAAAACAGCCTTATCTTGATTCCACCTTTCCTTCATGCTCCATCTTTCTGAATCTCTTTAGGGCAGAACCTCCCCAAAGAGTTCTCCCTATTTGTTATCTCTACTGTCTCTTTTCCTATTCTCTTTCTACTTCTCTCTCCTTTTCTAACTCTCTCTGTCTCTTACTGAGATGAATCTGAATCATCCCCAACTGCTTAGGCAGTCAGTCAGTGTTCTGATTTTTCATGGCCAGATTTGTTCTC